GCCACTATAATTCCTTCATTGTCATAATCTCCTATTTTCCATCGTCTTACTTCACTCTTCTTCCAATCAGAAATATAAAGATATCCATTTTTATCGATTGCCAAACCATAACAGTCAATATTGTGAATGAGAATTTGTTGCTTTTGATTAAACCATTCCATCACTCGGCTGTTTCCATTATCAGCAATGATGATCGAATGAGTTTGTTGATCAATAATCAAATCTGTTGGACAATTCAATTGATCCATTCGATCTCCTTTCTTATTTCCACCTGCAATGATCTGTCCTTGTTTTGCATTACATTTCCATTCAACAATACGATTATTTTCACGATCAGCAATGAAAATATTTTTGTTTTTATCAATAAACATTCCAACAGGACCATTGAGTTGATTTAATTTTTTTCCTCCTTCATTTCCACCAGCTACGGTGATGCCATTTTGTTTCCATTTTGATTCTAGAAAATAATGGAAATAAAAGATTTTGATGAAAAGAAGGAAAAGAAAAGATTAGTTTCCGATGAAACTTTGATTTCGTTTTTTTGTTAATAGTTGAATTTTCAAAAGAATTTTATTAAAAAACAAATCATTTGAAGTTTTATACCTGGAAAATAGAAACAAAGTCTTTTACAATATCTCATTTAACTATTTCCTATTGTGACAGTCTCATAAATTCTAGAGAATAAATTTATTTTCTAAGAATATATTCTATACAAATAATAAAGAAATCGAATGACAACTTATTATTATAGCTATGAGAAAAATCGGATTTTTTTCTTCGAGATGAAAGAGAAATCTCCCTTTAACTGTGGTAAAGAAAAGAGAATAAAAACATTTGATTTTTCTAATTTATTTAAAACTACTATAAAATATATGAAGTGATAAAGTTCTAGCAATATGTCTTAAATTATTACTTTTTTTCTTACAAGAGTTAACAAAAATTGAAGAAAAATTAATTTTTCAATTTAGTATTATTTCATAGTCCATCCTTCTTTTCTCTTCTTCATCATTATTTTTTATTGTATTACAAATTTCATCGAAAAGCAGTATGTTTCTTTTAGAGATTATTCCTTGAAAACTTACTTTTAGATGAATTAATTGAAATATCACTAATAAATGATTGTGAGTTTTGTTGAATAGATATATTTAAGGGATGATTTAATTCTTGTGTAATTTCAGTTAATTGATTTTTTAAATAGTTTAAATTAATTTCATTGAAATCATTTGCTTTCTGAAGTTGCTGTATTTGTTTATGTAAATCATTAAATTTATTTTCAATATCATTAATAAATGTTTGTGAAGATTTAAAGACAATTTCTCTAAAATTTTGTGCTTTTTGTTGAATTGTTTCAATTGAATTTATTTCCCATTGATCAATTTGTTTTGTTAATGCATCATTTTGTGGATTTTGTTTGTGTTCATTTATTCTTTGTTTAAATTCATTATAGCCATGACTAATATGATTCAGTTCATCATTCAATCTTTGTTGATGTTCAGCTAAATCCATATAACAAAATCTTTTTGAACATCCTTCACAAGTATAAATATTGTTTTCTCTATCACATGTAAAACATTTTCTTTTATTGTTTGCCGTAGCCATGTGTTAGAATAAAAGTTTATAAAAGAAATGAATATTTGTTTATCTGCTGTTTTAGATATCAACTTAAGAAAATATCTATGTACACACGTGTGCATGGCTAGTCGGCTATGTACACAGCTGAGTATAACCATTTTATCGGTAAATATAAAATCATGTTATTATCTTATATGTATTTCTTTGTTAATGTAAACTAAATGTTTAATCTTTTTAATAATTTCATTCAACTCTTTATCATGTACATTGTATATTAAAATAAAATTCATAATTTTATTTGTCTTCGAACAGAATCGCCATGATAGCATACATACATACATTATATTTCAATATTGAAAACGATGAAAGAATCCTTTCATTTATTTGTTATTATATTCTGTTAGAGAACGTTTAACATTCACCTTTTGATGATACGCACAAAATAAAAGCATGAAAAAAATTGTATAAAAATGGTGAAACAGGTATTACTTTTTATGTGTTTTATTTTGATTGATTAAGGTTAAAGTTTGCATTAGACTCATTTCGTGGAAGCACTACAAATGAGAACATAGTCATCCCATCAGTATTATTCTTTTTAAATTTCTCTTTAAATAATCGTAATTAGTATTTAATTAATAACTTTATTATTTCATCCATACATAAAAGATATACATATGCTATTGATACAACGAATTTTCGATTGAGCAACGTATATACTTTACACAATCATTTGTATTTGAATCAGGGTAAAATTCACAATTTTTATTATTTAAAGAAGATTTTTGTAAATTATTTGTTGATTCAAGAGAGGATGATAATGCTAAACAAAGAAAAAGAATAGATAGAAAATATTTAATTGATAATTAACTTAATTTTCGTGGCAGATTTATATTTGAAGGTTCTTGATTTGTTGATGATAAATAAGATGAACATGTTGGATTTTCTGTTGTATAGTTGAAGAAGGTATTGTTAATGAACGAAGATCAGCTTGAAATCTTGATGATGGAGGTTTAGGTGATAAAATTACACGAAAAATAAAAGAAGTTTTTGGGTAATGATGAAATGGGTGTGAGTACGGTTGGGTAGGCGTAGGTTTATGTTTTGTTTACCCACTTACACCCTAAAAAAAAGATTTCTCTTCGTTCTTTTATCAAAAATTTCTTTTTTTTTCAAAATTTATTCGACTTTTTTCAATAATATAACTTTAA